GAGGTCTGCCTGGATCTGGTGACGGGCGGCTGTGGCGCAGTGGCGCTGGTGGCGGGTGATGGTGCGGATGTGCGGGTCGCGGAACCGGGTGGGGCTCCCGCGGATCTGGTGTGTGGTGGCCGGCGGGGGAGCAGCTCGTGGTGTTCCCAGCTTGCTGGTGCTCCTACGGCGGGTCCCGGCGACGTCCAGGGCACGGATCTGGGCAAGGCTGCCCCGGATCTGGTGCATGGTGGTCAGCCTCGAGTTCGGCGGGCTGCGGGCGGCGCTGTGGCGATTTGGCTGCGGCAGTGAGGAGGGAGGATGGCGGTGCGGCGGCGCCGCTCTTGGCGGTGGGTGCGGGGCTGCCATGACGGCGCGTGGTGTCGTGGTGGTTTTGTTGGCCGTGTAAGAGGCGGTTGGCGGTGGCGAGCGGTGTAGAGTGCTTGGCCACCGTCGGCGGTGATTGGTTGTGGTGATGATGGGTTTGGTGAGCTCCGGGTGAAAGCCTTGCTCGACCTCGGTCGATGCCGGCGTCGACGGCGTCCTAGGACGTCGTTCCCTTGTTGGAGGCGGCGTCGTGGAGCCCCTTCACCTCCCTCGTCAACTTAGCCACGGGCTCTTCGGGTGAAAACCCAAACTTCGGCCTTGGCCTAAGTGGGCGTCGGCGGCGTTCCTCGTCGCTTCCCTCTTGGGGCGACGCCTTTGAAGGTCCGGTCCTTCATCTGCTGGTGGTGGCTCTGTGGCTTTGCAACTTCGTCGTCGGCTAGGTGAGTACGCGGCCTCGAGGCCGGCGTGGAAGTCAGAGCGGCGGCTCCGGGTATCTCCTACGTGTGGTGGTTGGCTTTGGTCGCCAGGGCGACATGGTCATTGATTAGGTGGGTTTGCGGCCTCTGGGCCAGAGTGGAAGTCGGTGCGGCGGCGCCAGAGATCTCGTACGCGTAGGGTGTTGGCTTTGGCCTCTAGGGCAGCGAAGCCATCGACTAGGCTGGTGCGTGGCCTCGGGGCCGGTGTGGATGTCGGAGCGGCGGCTCCGGAGCCCAGTGTTCTGTTGTAGGGTGTCGTCTCTGGTCACTTGGGTGACAGTGTCGTCGACTCGAGTGGTGTGCAGCCTCGGGGCTGGCGTGTGCGTGTATCGCAGATGTATCGATTTTCGGCCAGTTTTCCTTATAAACTGGCCAATTCTTTTCTTCTTAATGAAAAGGCAGAGCTCCTGCCGGTTGCTCGAAAAAAAAATGAGAGGGCGTGAGAGGGTAAGGATTAGGTGCAGTCCTAAATAGTATATATCTGAGTTCCTAAGGATAAAAATAATAAAATAGTAAACAAATGTATTGCACCAACACCAACCTGAAATTGTCTAATCTCTTTCTTTTTGTTTCTAAAATTGTTTGATGGGCTGTAAGCTAAATTCCCTGATTTCTGGACTACAGGTGTTTTTTTTTCTGATTTCCTGTAACATTCAAAAAAGTCTCAGCTAAACCACCACCAATTTCAATCTACTAATTCATCTGAAAACGGCACCTGCAACTATCAACACTCTCCCTGCACCAGAATTTGCATGAACACTTGTATAGTTCTATCAGATCACTCTTCTTTGGAAAAAGGAAAGGAAGCTGCTCCCTCAGGCTCTGCATCAATCGGTGCACACGGCCACAGCACTAGTTGATCATGGTTATCGGCTCACTGATCCACCATTTATTTTCTGCCCTGAACCTGGAAGCTGAACCTAACGCTGTATACTTTCCTGTACAGTTATCATTGATATGGGGATCCGGGGGCTATCCCTTCCACGGTGAAAGGGGCTTGCCGGTCCACTATGGCTAGTGCTAACTGAATTGCTCGCCTCCTGCATCTCCGACCGATCAGAAGTACTGTTCAAGAACTTGTCGAGCCTCGCATGGATCGCACATACGAGATGGTGGAGAGCCAGCACCATGTCCAGAATGTAGTGTTCGGTCTTCTCCTTGTCGGCATGGTATAGCGTCTGAATCTTGAGCGCCTTCCTGCCATTTGTTCCGTTGGGCTCCCTATTAAGAATTCACGAGACAGCATCATCAGTAACATACATTTCAATTTTTGTTGCACACCTAGTGCATGAGAATGTGGACAATAGGATCATTGTTATTATACCCTTGGTCCTGCCATTCACCAAGCATCCGACGCCCCATCCTGATGTTCAGAATGGAGAAAATAAAATGATCAGTCAGCAGATCATTCATTCAGCAGTTTTTTGCAGAAATTAGTTGAGATGTTTGGATGAATTTGTTGTGTATGTTCAAAGAGTATGCGTCTTTGCGGTACCTTATTGTGGATTCTGCCATTGGCAAGAGCCATTTCATTGTCTTGTTCATGTCATATGTGAGCTGTTCAACTGTCCTCTGAAGACAGCACATGCCAAGATCAGAAAACGATGAGCATGATAAAACCTATCAAGTTGGTCTGAAGAAAACAGTTGCTACCTTTTCTTTGTACTCATGACATTTCAACTTGGTTTGTATGGCTGATCTGACATATGGAGGCAACGCTTGGTACAATGAATCAACGCCGCTTTTCGGAATTGACGGTACAAATGATGCCTGGTAATGAGAAGCCATGATCAGAAACAAATAAGACATACTTTGATCATCCAAGTTGGGCATCAAATTAACTGAAAGTCTGAAAGAGTGGAACAATGCTTTGTCATTGTGTGTTCTTAGCGGACAAATTTGCATTGTGTAAACTATGGGCGGAACTAATTATGCTGATGATGTGTTTATGTCACTACATTTGATCATTATCCTTAATAATGGCTCGATAAGCTGTGTTTGACATGATAATACATAGAGAAGGGTCATACCAAACTCTTTATCTTGAAAATGATGTTCGCATAATGCAGAGCGAGATCGGCAGACCCTAAAGTTAACTGAATCGTCCCTTTCACTTCCATTGATTCATCTTCGTATTTCTTGAAGACATTTTTTATCTCTAACCGCAAGAAATGTACAACGCAAACAAGTTTTTCCACAACCTGCAGTAGAACAGTATGGAATATAAGTTTCTTGAAGATATTTATTTAAGTATGTATATTTCATAAATCATTACTAGTAAAAGAGAAATTTAATCACCAGCATAGGGGTATAGAATTACATGTTCCATCTTCTTCATCCAAAGTGTTTGCTTCTTCAAGTCCTTGACGAATTTTCTTTCGATCTCCACAGCGTTCGAAAGAGATTGGATTGAACAGAACTGGTCCTCCTGTCCTTCCATGTGCTCTTCATAATTTTTCTTGTATATCTCCTCGGAGATGTCGAACCGACGCATTCCATGGTACAGTTGCTGCGCAACAGAAAATATAAGACATCGACCGCATCAGAATTCCAGTGGTTCTAGAGGAGGGAAATTTATCAAGGACATAAGCATAATGAACTATGAATGAGTCAACTGACCGCTGTCTGCTCCGCAAGCGCCATGAGATACTGCATACTGGAAGCTGCTGCTTCTTTAGAGTATTTCTGATGTGTGGGTTCAGACTCCAACCTCGAGAAATGCTGATCCAAGTTGTGCCATTTCGGATCTCTGCATAGGTTTCCGTACCGAGCAACATCTGTAGCAAACTCCTTAAACTCCTCCCTGCATATATAAATTAGACCCACAAAAAATGCATATAAGCAAATGTACAACCAGAAAGGAAGAGAAGCACTGCTAGTTAAATTAAGTTGCTTGAAATTGTCACTGCCTACCTTTTTTCGCCTCCGACAAGAGCAAGTAACTTGTTGCAATCATCTGAAACCAAGCATCGGACGCCTTGGGACTGAAGCACCGCAGACTTCAGGTTCCTCAAGCTTTGTTCAGAGAGGAATGTCATCAGATTGTAGCCCTTGCCAATTGTGTTGGCAACCTCAAAGGCCATGATCTCTATTGTCCTAGTTTCTTTGGCCGCAATACAGGACCTGATGCGAGAAACTGCGGTTTTCGGGGTACTTGAACTCCCTGGTGCCTTCCCTGATTCTGCTTTGAAGGTTTTGCTGGAAAACATGTCTGTTTGTGATGCCTGTAAGATCAAAGAGACAACATCAGAGGAGGCTTTTCTAATAGGATAGTTTGGCTGATCCACATTACATGGTTAATCATATAGAGGACTGATAGTTTTTCCAGGGAATCTGTGGTTTTCATGAACAATAAGCAAACAGAAGATATGCTTTGACAAGAAAATTAAACATAATTTCAACCACAAAACAGACAGGATATACATTTTCCACATGATTGCAGCAGAGCCACTCCTATTAACAAATCATCAACTATATCAGAATCCTAGATGATGAAAATACTCTCTCTGAAAACACCATTTCTATAAAAATCACCAATTGATCAAACAAGATTTCTATCCAAGCAGGAGCCCACAAAACCAAGCATCAAGGAAGTAATAATATGTCGGGCCACTTGCCTTTGATTTCCCCTTGTCAGACAATGTTGTCTCCTTGGCGGCCAGCGGCGGCGGCCTACCACCCTTCCCGCCTTCGCGGGCGATCTCCGGCGCCGTCTTCCTGCTCCGCTTATTTCCCATCCCAACGGATTGCAACTTCGGCGGCTGCTGCTGCTGCTGCTTCTTCTCCTCCCCCTCCTCCTCATGGCAAGCAGAGGTTTCTTGATCCGAAGACGACAAGGATCCCAGCGCAAGCCTTCCCGAACAGCAGAGCCAACCCATCTTCCTCAATCCGATAAGGAAAGAACTGAAAACTCCACAGTTTCGGCGGCAAGTCGCGGTCTTTAGGGGAGATCCACCAATACGCCCATTCAAAATGATCGTGCGAGAAGCTCTGATTGCAAGAATCGGGAGAAATCAGTGACGGGATCCACACAAGAACATCCACGAAGGAGATGACCAGGAAATGGGGGGGGACAATCGAAGAACGACGTTAATGTATAGCAGTTTGCAAGTGGGGGCAGGAAAGTCTACTCGTTAAGTAAACAAGTAAAGAATCCAGGTTTGATGCGCATTTTGCTCTTAGTTTAATGGTTGACTTGTGTATCCAGGTGGGAAGGCGAGATGGTCAAAACCCACAAATCAGATCTATTCTCTCCTCTTTTTTAACTTCGGAAGAAAAATCAGACAACCCATCTCACATACTCCTAGATCCGTTCCTCTCCATTCTAGTTTTGGTAAACTTTTATTTTAGATTAGTTTTGGTTAGCTTTTAGGTAACCTGCTTGACTTTGGGGTGGATTAGGATAATTCTGGCCTAGCCAATTTCTATCTTATCTATTCTTCATGATTATGCAATACCGAATGCCTTTCCGCCCCCTCTCATGGAGAAGATATTCAAAGAACTGGAGATAAGGGGCTTACCCGATGTATTCCTTACACGGCTGCTCATCGTCGATGCACGGGGAGGGGGAACTCGGTTTTTTGCCTGATTGTAGTCTCATCTTATGTATGCCTTCACTTGCATATCTTAGTGGTGTTGAGGTGGTAATGGTATCGACGCGATGGAATGAGTTTATTCAGTGGCACCAAGGTTTGGTTGGTCGGTGGAGTCGTGCTCGCAGGGTTGGTAGAGCTTACTACCGTATCACGCTATATCTGGCTGACGATAGGGGTGGTCCTTCATTTGGCTTGGTGTGCAAGGTCGTTGGTTCGGTGGTCATCGAGGTTCTCCTGGAGTGGTGGGGTCGGGCGAAAATAGTGACAAGCTTGGGATGCGCCTTGTGGTAGTGAAAACACAAGAAGCCAATGCCCAAGTAAAAAAATAGCTAGGTTGTTAGTATTTTCCACAGCGTTGCTACTCTCCGCACCATGCTATATTTGTTGATAGAGATGGTCCTCCGTTTGGCTTGGTGTGCAAGGTCGTTGGCTCGGTGGTCATCGAGGTTCTTCTAGAGTGGTGGAGTTGGGCCAAAATATTGACAAGCTTGGGACGGGCCGTGTCGCGATATTGTAAACCCAAGAGAGAAGCCAATGCCATATTAAAAAAAACTAGGTTCTTAGTTTTTTTTTCCCGCCACTTTAGCTACTCTCGTCATTTGTATTTGTTTCTTTAACTTGAATCAGCAAAAATCACGCCTACCTCTTGCCCTCCTCCTATCTTCTTTTGTTTGACATTATGTACAATGATACCAATGCGACACTTAATTTTAAAGTTTGTCGTGCGAAATACACCATTTTCCAACTTGACAAGCCCTAACCGGGCCCTCTATATATTTTAATAATTTGTGTATGGGCATGGTGTTTTGGTACCAAATTATTTGCACCTCATTGTGTGCCGAGGTGTTTCCTATCAAAAAGTAGTACTGTTCGTACCTGTTATGGCTTTAATATGATATACGTGACACATCAGCATTTGATTAGTAACTTGCATGGAATCAGGCAAGAGGAGGTTAGCAAACTGAGCCGATGGTTAGCTTTCTTATTATGGAACCAACCCATTTTAAGTCCTAGAAAAAAATATCCCTCCGTAAATAAATATAAAAGCATTTAGATCATTACTTTAATAATCTAAACACTCTTATATTTCTTTACGGAGGGAGTAGGCAAAAGAGGTTGCCGTATGAAATGATCGTACCAGATTTGTACCCATTACTTTATACCAAGTATATACGGTTTTGTTACAGAAGTACTACTCCCTCTGTCCGGAAATGCTTGTCATCAAAATGAATAAAAGGGGATGTATCTAGATGTATTATAGTTCTAGATACATCCCTTTTTGTCCATTTTGATGACAAGTATATTCGGACGGAGGAAGTATATCGCATCAATATTTGATCACACGACTCGCATGGCGTCGGAGCAGTAACTGACTCGACTGAACCTGAGCATAATACACCATTTATTTTGAGAGAAACAAAATATACACAACGTTTGAACACGCCAAATCATGCTATTACTCTAGTACTATGAAAGAAACTACTTTATGCACGACAGTTTGCTAGCCGATCCTTGCACGACAACTGATCCAAGGGTGTGCATCAGACATAATGAAAGGGTCGTGCAAGCAATGTCGTGTGTGTAGCATCGCTGTACTATGAATTACTTTCTCCATTTTTAAATATAAGTTCTTTTTAGAGATTCTAATACGAACTACATATGAATGTATATAGACATATTTTAGAATGTAGAGTTACTTATTTTGCTCTATATGTAGTCTGTATTGGAATCTCAAAAAAGACTTATGTTTAGAAACTGAGGGAATAGTATCTAATTACGTAGAGCAAAACAAAACTGATCTCTCAAAGGCTTATTCCTTTATTCCAAAGCATGGAACCCTATGACTTGTGCGTATTTATATCTGCAGGTAACATGCACGCCATGCAACTTGTATCATGTGTATGGGTCATCCTGCTATCTAATTAGAGAGCACCTGTGCTAGCTTAGATATGATTAACTATATCGAGGAAGTAAACTATGTTGGGGTATCCAAATAGGATTATTCCCATGTCCTTCCATCGTCCATAGTCTTCAGCTATTGTTAATTGTTATGACTGACACATCTGTGATGTCCATTTAGAAGGGTTTAAATGACTAATTCTGAAATCTGTGTTCCCTGGACCGCGTGACAGACACCTCATAACATGAGCTAATGTCAAATATTACAATAATGTTCCATTTTTTGCACATTATACGTGTCGGAAAAATTTCTACTCGTACTCTAGTTATGCTTCTTGTCAACTTATTATTTAAGCTAAAGCTTCTTCTCAGCCGTTGGAGCAATGGACAGTGGGTATATTTAGATTAAATTTTTTGTTTCCTTGGCTTTGATCGGTACTAACTAAATCTTCAACTTGCTCGATGACGCTTGGGCTTAGGTGACTGCCAAGTTTAAAATTGGCATGCTAGATTGGATCACCATGCAGCGTTTAGTTCTCGCAGAAGCATGTTCTCGTGCCTTGTTGCTCCTAGCAAAAGCCGCCTCTAGGTCTACGATACTTCATTCAACTTCATTTGGTTAAGGCCCTACATCAGCTACCTTTTTCCTAATTCTTGGAGAACTTGCCTACTTGCTCTGAAATTATTGTGAAAAAATTGCAAATTTCCCAAGTTTGGAACAGATGTCCACTCGATTTTCTCAAATTTTATTCTGTTTTACGTAAGATCCTTTCGGTGATCTAGCATGAAAAAGGGGCTGTTATTACACATCTTCCCTCCGGATATGTCCTTGCTTCCTTGATGAATTTTGCCATAGATGTTTGGTCAGTGGCGCCTCCGGCTTGGTTTTTCTGGTTGCAATAACATGAGCAGGCCTGTTGAGGAGATGCAGCCTCATAGTCCGCCCACGAGAATCTACGAACAAGAATGTCCTCCATGTACGCATATTATCCAGGGATACTTAGCTCACTGGATAAAAATGCCATCCGTTTTGGTGAATGAAACAGGGATAGGCTACATATCAAAAAAAAAATCTCGGGACATACAAATATGGACCGCAGATGCTTTGATTCTGGTCTTGAGTTTCAGAAGCAGCATCAAGAACTGGACAGAAACAAACAAGAGGCGTATCAAGAAATGGAGATAGAATGGCTTATGCAGCCTCAATCTCCATTTCTAGATACGTCCGCATCAAACTTTGCTAGACATCTGAGTTCATACATCTGTCATCAACCCACGCAAGCTAAGGTGGTAATGCACCAGTTGAAATGTCAACCTTCTGGCCTCAGCACATAACAATTCAGCAAGAGAAGCAATGTAGGTGAATGCATAGCGAGGTACCCACGTGATTCTGGATGTCAGCCAGCCGACACAATCAAATTAGTGAAATCCTGATCAGAAAAGAAAAAGGAAAGTGTCTCCGAGAGCTTCCGGCTGAAATTCGAATTCCAGTCTTCGTGATGTACAACAATGATGTCGGCTAAGCTTAACAAATTGAGCAAGTGAGAAGGTGATAGATAGTCAGATACGTCAGGCCGTTGCATAGGACTCGCACTTGTCCCTACAGGAAGACAACAAGAAATGCAAAGAAATGTGAGGTTCATGCAAACCAAGTAAGTATATGTTTGCAAATTCTTGTATGTATGAGAATATGTACTATGTACAGTCTAACATTATCACAGTGGTATTTCATACATGTTTCTGCATCAAGCTTACCGCCGGAAATGCTTCAGCTCTTCGAATTCCTAATCAGATCTTTCAGCTCATCCGCAATTGCATGATAGCAGAACTTGTATTGTTCCTGCAAAGCCAAAATGTTAGTTATAGAGACGAGAGTTTGAGTTGGTTGATAAGGAATAGTTTGAGTTGGACGGTTTATCCTATATGCATCCAGTTGAGTCAGAGTCCAGTTGGATTGGACACATAGTATAGCTAGGCAAACTGAACTGTAACCTTTTAGTTCAAGCAGTCAATAAACAAAGTTCTACAACAAGTCTCAGAGCCTCTCTTCCACATCAGAGACAGGCCCTGTCGCCGGCCATATCCTGGTCTTTGGACCTTAATCTACCACAATAATCTCGTTGTGGATCAAGATCCATAACCTAACCTGGGAGGATCCAATAACTGATTTACAAACTGAAATAAATAAATAACACAATCGTACCTCCGTTTGGACCATGCCAGGTCTCTGGGATCTAAACTTCCCGACAGTTTCCACAAGATTTGTAGCAGCTTGTTCACCACGTAATATCCTCTCTACTGTATTATGGATTGTAATGTAAGCACCAGTTCTCCCAATGCCTGCACTGCAGAAATCAGAAAAGGAATGCAATATTATTTGAATGTGGGCAAGTGTGAAAAAAGGAATCATGCCATTAATTTGAAACAAACCTGCAATGTGCAACAACTGGGTGCTCTTTAGGAACGTAATATAATCTTTTTAGAATCTTCCGTACAGTACTGCTGTCATCTGGCACACCATGGTCAGGCCATGTGGAGTGCTGGATGTGGAGAACAGTATGCACTCTATCTGACTGCAAAATAAAGGATTATAAGTTGGGGCAGTACAAACACTAAGACAAGCAATATGGGTGAAAGAGGTACGAAGCATACACAAAGAGGCAACGCAAGATGCATAAAAAGCCATTCATGGAAGAAAATAACTAAATGTTGCAAACTACAGATGTTCAGCATTTATAGCAATATAATAAATATACACCAGTGGTGTAAGCTAACATGTATACGATTACGATGGTTATCTTGAGACCTCACTTAGCAATGCTACATCAAGTAGTGCTGCAAAGGGGTAATTCATTCATCACACTGCGACCAGCAAACTTAGTGATAGCCTGTGATGGATCAATGCCTTGAAAGCTGAACTGAAATCTTCACTACCACTAGAGTGTAAGCATGAGAATCCTAAATGAATGAAAAAGTACCCGGTAATATGTCTGATGGAATATACGTGAGGGCCTTTACATCACATGTGAATTACTTCAAGCTACTTCTAATGGAAGTATTATGTACTGTTAACAAATCCTGCAAAGGTACTAAAACTTAAGTCTATGCATCGTTGATGAACAAGAGTAATGGCATACAATAGTATAAAAAATAATGGAACAAATAGTCCTTCACTCATACAGCATATCTTCACACTTTATTTAGACACAGAAGCAACATTAGTTTTACACATCTTTACCTCGTTATGTTGCACCTTCACACTGCGCAATGTTAATTCCCCATCTTGTCTGGTCTCCAGGATTTTAATGTTCAATCTTCCATAGTCTCCTTGCCCCTTGCTCAGTGGAAGATACTCATCACACTGCCATTATTTCAATGTAAATAATATTTGATAGGATTTTACCAAAGGAGAAGGTTAAAATTACAAACTGTGTCTACAAGATTAAGAATCCCAGAAAACCATCATGGTACCAAAGCCTAAAGTATTCTTCCAGGAGTCATTATGGTGGTCTGCCGGACCTTTAATCCCGGACTTAGGAAGTACATATGACAAGCTGAAAAGCATGCATGCAACACATCCATATAGAAATGCAACAACTGTTGACCATTTAGCGTCCTTCAAATATACTACCCCGTCCCGAAATGTAAGACGTTTTTTGACATTAGTATAGTGTCAAAAAACGTCTTATATTTTGGGACGGAGGGAGTACTAAGCAAAAAAGCCTTGCCTGTAGACAGGTGACATTATAAATGGAAAAACGAAGTCATTTTTGATCAAAGATGGCCATTTCCATAAAGAACACAGTCCTATCCGGCTTCTCTGTTCATTTCCCATACTGATCGTGCAAGAACTGTATCCAGCTTCTCTGTTCATTTCCCATACTGATCGTGCAAGAACAGTCAGTCAGCACCAATCAGGCAGGAAGTACAGTAAGCTAAGAATACTGGAAGAAGGTTGTTCTTCTCCATTCAGGGCTGATCCGAAAGAGAATCTAGTCTTTACTGAGAAATTTGGTTTCGGGAACTTTGCTGATTCCAGTCAAAGAAAGAGTTTTTTCAGGAAGAGAAGCAAGCAGCGAACTGAGCAACTATCGCATCAATTCAATAAATAGATCTTAGTGACGCTTAAGCTCCATTCTATTTGAATGTTCTCATGTCCTACTAGCCGCCGTTGATAGGATTTAACGATAAATTAAATAACTCAACACTGTAGGCAAACATGTGGAGTAAGGTTGTGCCAAAATCATGGAAGGCGAGAAACTGAAAACTGAATATTAGGCCAACTCAATGAAACATGCAAGTCACAAGTGTTTGTTATTCATACCTTAGCAATGTCAAATTTAGTGAGCATGACAATTACAGGACAGCTGTTCTCAAAGACCATCTGCCAAAAATCTTCGAATGTATTGACTAGCGGACCTTGAGTAGAAATGAACTTTGTCTGATCTTTGTCATCATACTGCAGATTTTATATCCAGCAATGCAATTAGGATCAGAAAGAAAGAAAAGGGCAGGAAATATGCTATTTCTTACCTTTATAAGGCTTGCATTGATGTAATCATTACTTGAAGTCTGATTGCCTGTTGAGGACTGTAGCTTTATCCTGGTTTCATCAACTAAATAATAAAGGTCGAGTTAAATCAAATAATTTATTCCACATGGTGGAATTGCAGAATATGCATGACTGCCCCCATAAGTTAATGATGCTCACATGCCAAGACATCAGTGTAGCGGTTCCTTTCCCTATTAGCAGGACTTCGAGCCACAGTAAACTTCTGAGCCAACTGGAGTGATGTTCTTATGGCCTGAAATAATTGCGAATCAATAGTTGCATGATTTTCTTAGGAAATAATATTCCTCATTTCTTATAACAGCCAATTTCAAAATATTTCTTATATGTACAATTAAAAAAATAATTAGTCCAGCATCAGCTGTCCCCAGTCAACACATATATCTGAATTGTTTCTTTCAGTTCCATTGAACTGAATGTGGACGAGCTAGTGTGGTACCACGAGGTTAGAACTGAATGGGGTCGTGATACAATGTCCATACCCATTTTTTTTCTTACAAAAAGTTGAGTAAGATGCTAAGGGCAGATAATTCACTTGTTCATAGTAATACTTCATACAGCATTTGATATGACGACGGGCATTTGCGAATACACATTTGATATGGTGACAGTCCCATTGAGAATGCATATCCTTTTAATCGTTATCAATATATCGATTGTCATAAAAAAGAAGAGAAAACTATGGATTAAGATTTCAGCGTGTAATTGATAATCTTTAGAGATTGGACTTGGAAACAGAGAGTGAGCTAATTAGGTTAGAAGTTACTAAAACAGTAGAAAATGGATCACTTGGATGTGATTAAGATTCACACAAGCAGTAGAATGGACAAAGTTGTTCCAAACATCATCAGGTAGCTTAAAGTGTCATGTAAATTATCCTAAGGCAACCAGCACAGCATTACAGATGACAGAACATCATCAGGGAGCTTAAAGTTTCACATAAGATATCCAAAGGCAACCAACACAGCACTAGAGATGACAGATAAAATACCATGTTAGAAATTAGAAATTAGAAAAGAACACCAACTCCAGCAATACTACCTTTTCCTGGTGGCCTAGACGAGCAAAAAATGTGAGCTATTTTACTCAAAGAGAATACTCAGCTACTTCACTGTGTGAGGTTAAGTCCATCTCAGGTAAGCGCGTGAAAACAAATACATACTAAGGCCAATGGTAGGACTGGTCCAAGGAAGAGGCAATGCCATGAGAGGAGATTGTAGTTTTATTTCCTGTGTGCTGACGTTGACGCGGTATTCTGGAGCAAGCAGCATAACTCCTCAAGAGTATAATTTTGGCAACCTAAAATGGACTTCAATCCCAGTTGCCCAGAGAATCCACATGTTAAAATGTAGCTTTAGAAATAATCTCTATTTTCCCTTAATCATAACCAGCACAATTTTATCTGGCTGTACAGCTATCGTCCAACATGACGCTTCACTTGGAAGCAACAATGTGAAGATCACACGGCACTAAGGGTAACCATTATACATAAAACCACCTCCTCCATCATTCACAACTCACTTGTACGATTGCAAAACTAAAAAGATTCTAGCTAAGGCCACTCTTCTTGATTTTGCAAAAAGAAAAGGAAACAAGGGGAAAAAGATGGTGTGTCTTGATTTCACAAAGCAAAGAAAATGTTGGTGATATTAACTTGGTCATGCCTCGCCGGACTTGCACAAATAGGGGGTGACCAGGAAAGATTTCCTACCGGAAGGCCTCTAAAGTCGTCGAATATTGCTGCCGGCTTCTTGAGCTTTTTGTCGAGCACCTTGAGCGCCGTCTTGCAGTGCTTCACCTGGTCCGGCATCAGCGCCCGGGCCGGCGGATCCGCGTTGGGGTCGAGCGGGTCAAACCCTCCCTGCGGCCCTGTAAGCCCAGGCGAAGAGCGGCGCGGGGCGGAGGAGGCCGGCGAGCGGCCTCTCCCGCCGCCGCGCAGCGGCGAGTTCCCCGTGGCTCCGGCGGCGGGGTCAGTCTTCCGGCGGCGCTTAGCGCTAGGAGCGGGCGGAGGGGAGGGGGGAGCCGTCGGGGTCGCCGTGGTGGAGCGCGTGGCCGGGTATAAATAAAGTGCGACGGCTTCCGCCCGGGCCGGTGGTTGGATTGGGGTTTTTTGAGAAGACTTGACTTGGGGAGGAGAGAATGCTGATGCCGCCACGGTGCAAGTGGGGTCTGGTTGTTCGGGGAAAGGGAGGGGGGGCGGGGAGGGTGGGAATGGCGGACGCGGTGATGCGGGCCGCCGGCGGAGGGGGGTTTCGCAGGGAAGAAGATGGCGAGACGGATTTTGAAATGCTGATGAAATCCACTAGTTTAGCGCCCGTGCTTTACCAGCTCGTCACGGTGTGATCTACTCCCCCGTCTCATCAGGGTGTGTTTGGTTTGGGGACCAACATTCATGAATGAAACGGTTTCATCACGAAGAAATCGGTCGGTCTCATCCTTGATAAAGGTAAAAAAATAGAATACAGTTCCATTTTAAAGAAATGGGTCGGTTTTATCCTTGATAGGGTAAAAAAATAGAATGGAATGGTACCGTTTTTATGTTTGATTGAAGAGGTGTAACAACAAATGAAAATTGTTTTTTTCAAAAACACTTATATTATGGGGATGAAGGGAGTAACTAGCAAAGGTTCGTGTGTTGCAACAGTATATACATGTTTTTAGTGATTATTTTTAAAAATAATCAGTTTTAGTGATTCAACAGTTTCTAAATTACAAAGGCAAAATGCCCCAAAGCACCCTGTGCGATTAACGTGTCTCTCGGATATGTTCACCAAGACAGGCAATATGGGCTTGTTAGTCCACACAACTCCACTAATCTTTGAAATAAATAAATGTTAGCAATTACTCCCTCCGTCCCATAATATAAAAGTGTTTTTGGGACGCGGAGGAATTGACTCCGGGCACCAGTGATCCTGAATGAACAGTAAAATGCGAAAAAATAGTAAAAAAAATTCAAAAAAATCTGAATTTTTTTGTCAAGAAACTTTGATGTTTTTTCTACATGCGTGCCAATTTTCGTGATGAAATGACATTTGTGGAGGTGTCAGCAAAAAAAACAAAATCATGCTCCAAAAAAACTGTTTTTGAAAGCATTTTGGAGCATCGATTTTGTTTTTTTTTTGCTGAGACCTGCATGAATGTCATTTTGTCATGAAAATTTGTACGCATGTGAAAAATATGTCAATGTTTGTTGCCAAAAAAATTCAGATTTTTTTAAACTTTTTAAAAAAAAATTGTTTGTACTGTAGCAAAGGGTGCCTGTGAGCTCGAGCTCACGATAGCACTTTCGGTGTTTTTGACACTACACTGGCGTCAGAAATGCTCTTATATTATGGAATGGAGGAAGTATATCACACCACTAACTTAAGAACAAAAAGACAGACATCGCCTACTGCCAATGAACTCTTGCCCCTAACAATCTAGGTGTGTTGATCTATGATGGTAATTAATACTACTCACGGAAAATATAAAGTAATAATAACCAATACATGGATTGATGACCTTTTACCCAATAGTAAAGATGAGATAAGTGACACTTATGTAAGGCAGAGAAATTTACATTGTAATACTTCACACGGTTTCGACCATCCATAAATTAATTAATTAAACTCATTAAGCGTCGCGTGAAGGGCGGCCAACCAGCTATGCCACATGGCGCAAAGTGGTTGGCCGTAGTGAGATGTCTTTTGGATTTTTTTAGATGAAGGTGAGAATTATTTTCTAAATCTATTTTTTCTTTTTAGATGGAGGCGACGACCTCTAGTATTTTTTTAAATGGAGGTGATGCAATGTGGCGCTCGCTGGTAGGCTACGGAGTTTTTTTTCTTTTTTATTTCTTTTTTAGATGAAGGTGAGGATTTTTTTATGAGATATTTTTTTAGACGAAGGCGAGGACTCTATTTTTTTTCCTTTGGAAATGTACGCACAACTTCCTCTCAAGTGGCGCCACAAGGTGGCGTCCCAACCACTAATATTGTATGAAGCATGTCCTAATTCCTTCCATTCTAGACATAGTGTTCAATGTGTTCCACTAAAATATAACACAACATGACTCTACAAAGACCGGCAAGTTTGACGTTACCAAATCCATCACAAATGGGGTGTTTGCATTCAAATGAAAAAAAATCACATAAAAGGCTATTCATTATCTTCTAGAGAAACACTATCAACAGTCTCAATAAGTTTTTTGGGTATTTTCAAACATAACATTCGGTTATGAGGGGCAAACGGCCAGGCGACGCCATCTATTACCTTCCTTGCGTAGTGAAGAAGCACTATCAATAGTCTCAAATTAAGCTTTTTGAATATCTCAAAATATTCAGTTCAGAGGGGGGGATACGGCCGAGGCGACCATGCTGTCGCATACATCTCGCTGTGTATTAGCACTTTACCTATCAAATTGAGTAGCAATCTTACTATCAGCTTCAATACGCAGTGTGTGTGTGTATCAGTGGTGGAGTATCTAGTAAACACTGGTTTTCAGTGTAAATAAGTAAACTTCTGTCGTGGACTATCAGACGAATAGCATGGATCGGAGGGGAGTCTCTAGCAAGCCACTTAAATGCCAATTACCATCTAGGAGGATAAGTCCTCAAATCTTCGTGCGTTCTTGAGAATCCTGAACGGATTCGTCTTCGATCATCTTGACCGATCCGATACACTTTGCAGGCTTCCACTGGAGGTTAACCCCTGCCTTATGCCGGCTGGGATTGACCGTTCAGGTCAGGAGCGACTGGACTCTGACAGCCGCGATGGGCCCTCTATTAGCAGCAAATGGCCTTCCGCCGCCAGCGTCTCACGCCATTGCCTCACTTCTGCAAACCACGACTCTTCCTCACCATCAGCGTCTCGTGCCATGACTTGTCTTCCATGGTTGTAACTTTTGTAAAATCTCCTCTTTCCAATTGCACATCTAGTACGACATTCCTCAACATGGAAGCCATCGAGGAGTTTTGCCAGGCTTATTCAAAAATGTTGGAATTTCAGCGCTAACATGAACGAAGAATCATACAGGCAGTGTTCCCCCCCCCCCCACACACACACACAAAATAAAATCTTCCTTTTGAATAATTGGCAGTTGTATCACCTATATCTCTGAACATTCATCTCAATTTGTAGTTCTGGTTGAAGCTCGGAAATAAGACATTCAGGCAAGTCAAGATTCAGGTTAAAAGATGGCGATATTCATGCTTCGATATTAAGTTCAGAAAGCAATGGCTCATTCCATAAAGTATGCTCTTTCTAGTTCCACATCTAGTACGACATTCCTCGGTATGGAAGCCATCGAGGGGTTTTACCAGGTTTATGCAGCAATGTGGGACTCACAGCACTAACATGAACTAAGAATCATACATGAGGCGTTCTACTACTTGTGAACTGCGTTGGGATTTCCCCGAAGAGGAGGGGATGATGCAATACGGTAGAGATAAGCATTTCCTTCAGTTAAGAACCAAGGTTATCAATCCAGTAGAAGAACCAAGCAACACCCCGTTGGTAGTACCTGCACACAAACAACAAATCCTTGCAACCCAACGCGAACAAGGGGTTGCCAATCCCTTGACGGTTACGAGCAAGATAAAATTGTATGGTATTTGATAGATAGATCGGACAAAAATACAAAATAAAATAAATAAAAGAAAATTGCAACAAGGTATTTTTAGCATTTTTATATGATAAAAGGTAGACCTGGGGGCCATAGTTTTCACTAGAGGCTTCTCTCGAGAAAATAGCATACAGTGGGTAGACAAATTATTGTTGGGCAATTGATAGAAAAGCAAATAGATATCCAAGGCAATGATCATGTATATATGCATCAAGTCTGAGACAAGTAGACCTGAACGATTATGCATCTACTACTATTACTCCACACATCGACCGCTATCCAGCATGCATTTAGAGTATTAAGTTCGTAAAGAATGGAGTAACGCTATAACACCCTGGTTTTTGGCCCTTTTCTTTTTCTTTTGATTTTCTTTGGATTTTTGCTTTGGATTTCTTTTCCGTGGCTTTGTGGTCTAGAAACATGGAAAGATTATCTCTTCTTCCTTTCCAGAGTGGCTTGTCAATCATAAATCCATCCAAGACCATGTCACTTCCATTTTTCACCAATCCCAAATTATTTTTCTTGGGAATATTCCTTTTTCTACTAAAGGAATAATCCTTTTTGCCCCAGGTTGTGAAGCAATCTACATTTCTGCCTTGCCATTAATTCCCACAAAATTCTCATAATTCCGTTGGGACATAACTTCCACATATATGTCAAAACATTTCCATGTCCAGTTCAAAAATAATTCACAAATATTCTTTTTCCTATTCTGCCCTGAATGGCACTTTGTGAAGGAAGTGTCATTTATATGTTTTTGATTGCCCTGAAACTTTTCGGGCACTCTCTCATGTCCATATCATTGCCACATGCAAAAATTCAACTTCATCTTCCTTGTAAACATTCCTCAACTAATTTCCAAAGTTTCTGACCAGAAAGAAACTTTGTGAATGAGGTACTAGCTAGGATTGTCCAAATGTGAAATTTTGCCATGTTCTCAATACATATCATCACTATCCACAAGATTTGAACTCCATCCGATCACCCATGTGAGCACACCATCCAATCTTTGATTCTGGTCAAAATTTTAGTTTGTGAAGCAATTATATTTTATATTGCTTCATAATTGCTAAAATTTTACCAGAGCATTTGTCAGGACCCCGATTCTATGCCACACCGATCTAGCATGTAACACCTCATATCACTTTGCGGCCTCACGCACGGTATTCCCACTGGTGTCGCCTTACCATGCCCGGGACCGTTTGCGC